AGGAGGAGGAGGAGGGGGGGGGAGGTAGGTTGTGGTGAAGCGGCGCTGCCCGAAAGGCTGAGGCGGGAGGCGCAGCGGAGCCGAGGTGTGCTGCTGCGGGAGGGACCTGCGGGCAGGGGACAGGCCGAGAAATGCCGGGGGAACACCAAGTCACAGTCGTATCTATACATATATATATATATATATTAGAACCTTAATTGCTTGTTTTGTCCAAAAGAGTTTCCATTTCTTCAGTTTGCCCACCTAATACACGGTTCCAGGGGGCTGGAGCACCTCTCCTATGAAGACAGGCTGAGAGGGTTGGGGTTGTTCAGCCTGGAGAAGAGAAGGCTCTGGGGAGACCTTACAGCAGCCTTCCAGTACCTAAAGGGAACCCACAGTAAAGATGGGGAGGGCCTCTTTGTCAGGAAGTGTAGTGATAGGACGAGGGGTAACGGTTTTAAAGTGGAAGAGGGGAGATCTAGATTAGATATTCTGAAGAAATTCTTTCCTGTGAGGGTGGTGAGGCACTGGAACAGGTTGCCCAGAGAAGCTGTGGATGCCCCATCCCTGGAAGTGTTCAAGTGGATGGGGCTTTGAGCCGCCTGCTCTAGTGGGAGGTGTCCCTGCCCATGGCAGGGGGTTGGAACTAGATGATCTTGAAGGTCCTCTCCAACTTAAACCATTCTGTGTTCCACTAATTCTTTCCCTCCTCATTAGCTTGTACAGCCCATCATATGCTGTAAGATTCGCTGAAGTTTACTGTAGTACCTTGCAGAAATCTAGGCAAGCTCCTCAAAAGGTTTTTCTGTGTAAGAAGGTGGGAGGTAAATAAGTGAGTGAATGGCACTTGGGGGCAAACATGCAAATTCTCACTGCAGTTTTGGAAGCAGGGTGCCATCTCAGCCTCCCCAGAGCGGTGAAGGAAGCTTCCCTACTTCACCTTTCTGTTCCTAAAACACCATAAAACACAGAGTTCCCGAAGTAAAGAATGGTGAGCTAAAACTCCAGTGGAAAGAACGGATAGAGAAGTTTAGCTTGCCTTTATCCTCCACAGGGCAGTGTTCCTAGAGGACCACATACAGTGGAATTGGGATGTGACTGCTCCGGGATCATATCATTGTCAGCACTAGTGCAAATTCAGGCTGCTGCAGCGTTGTGCTTCTTAATGCAAGGATGTATTTTCCAGATACTCCTTCTTCACTGTCTCGTTTTTGCAGAAGGCAGAGCGAAAGGAAGAGCAGTGTCCTTGTACAGACCCCAGATTGCTACCCCACCAACAGCAGCTGGACCAGGGTAACATTCACCTAACCGAGTCATTCCCATCGTTGAGTCCCAGGATGGCAGGGCCGTGGGGGCTTCAGTGTTACGCCACAGTTCAGACTGCTCTTACGTATCAACTCTTATAGAGTATCCCAAAACTTGCTGGAGGTAGGTGCGGAGTAGACATGCAGCAGGTTGTAAAGCTAGGCACAAAAAGGACAAAATACCAAAAAAGATAAAGTAGGGCAGAGGAGAAGATAATAAAAAAAAAGAAGATGCTATTTAAAGGCTGCATGGTTTTGCACTGCCATGATAGAAAGTAGCTGAGACCAGTTACAGGAGAAGTAACTCTGTTACTGGGCTCTTCGTGGAATGAAATAACTGGGAAAGTATTTCAAACAGGAAAAGTTAGGAGGAAAAGTCAGACAAAGTCAACTTTAATTCTTCATTTGCTTAAAAAGCTAAGACCATGGAAGTGTGACAAAACAGCAGTCGGGTGGCCTCTGGATACTACCAAATACAGTACAGCCAGACATGGTTCTGGTCTTGTAAAGCCAACCTGTGTGAAGTTGTTAGAACTAGCAGGGAAAATATGACTGTAGAAAGGAAAATGTAAAAGTTATTTTTGTGCTGATTTGAAATTAACAACAGAAAACTCAAAAAGAACCATGAAACTGAAAGCCCAAAACATTTTATTCTGGAGGCATTACAACGGGACTTTACACTGTAGTAATGTGACGTGTCTGCTGACTGACATGGAAATTATCTTGCAGGTCTCACCTCAATGAAAATACTCTATCAGAAAATCTCAAGCCCTCTCCAAACCCTCCTAATTCCCAATCTTTCAAGTCTGAATCTGGATCTCCATTCTTCTTCATTTGCACTGGAATTATTAGAGATGTCCAAAGAGTTGCTCCTGGTTTAGTCCTGAGATCACAATCTCTCTAGAGGAATTTAGGAAGCCCATAAAATGAGGCATGACAGCAAATTAATCAGCAAGCGATTAAGCCCTGATTAAGCATGTCTCTCAAGGAGGGGTCAAGGCAAGGATAACTTTCAGCAACATTTGCAGAAATAACAATAAGCAGATTTCAGGATGAGGAAGCAGGGGGATGAAAAAGCCCAAGATGTCTCAACCCCCCTCACAAAATAAATGCCTGCATTAAAAAGACCAATAGTGGAGTTCGAAAGTGTTGGACAAAGAAGAACTTACTCAGAAGGAGCTTATCAGATTTTGAAGCATTCAGTAGTGAAAAGAATTGAAGCTTGTAGCATCTAAGAGAGTCAAAACAGCTACAGAAGCTTCAGCATAGGCATTTATGGAAATACAGGTCTGATTTATAGATGTGGGTCAGAGTGAACTCAAGCACTGTGTTCAGTTTTGGGCTCCTCACTGCAAGAAAGACATTGAGGTGCTGGAACATGTCCAGAGAAGGGCGACAAAGCTGGTGAGGGGTCTGGAGAACAAGTCCTATGGGGAGCAGCTGAGGAAACTGGGGTTGTTTAGTCTGGAAAAGAGGAGGTTGAGGGAGACCTTATCATTCTTTACAACTATCTGAAAGGAGGTTGTATTTCTTCACCAAAAGGGTGGCAAAGCATTGGAACAGGCTGCCCAGGGAAGGGGTGGAGTTGCCATCCCTGGAGGTATTTAGAAGACATGTAGACGTGGTGCTGAGGGACATGGTTTAATGTAACTTGTCAGTACTAGGTTAACGGTTGGACTTGATCATCTTAAAGGTCTCTTCCAATCCAAACTACCCTATGATTCTGTGATTCTATGATTTCTGATTTGTTAGTCACAGTGACACCAGCCATAGAGACTTAAACTGGACTTTGTACATTTTAACAGCTTTTGGCTCAGTTTGAGGGAAATCAGTTGATTTCAGAAAACTGAGAGGTTTCTGAGATTTTTTGAATGCTTACAATATTTGCGATGTTGCATGAA